CAGAGCAGACAGTCATAAATAGTTGCCTTGACTACGATGACTGGGTAAAACTGGATTTAAATTTAGGGATATGCTATTTGGGGTTGTTTTTTTACTCCAACTCGCAGGATTTCTCAGACAGAATTCCATGGGTTCCAGCCGACATACCCAAACCTCAGAACACCTACATTTTGCTCACCTGGACCAGGCCTATCTCCAAGGCTCACTGCTGTCTTGAGCCTCCTATCCTGTTGTAAATGCACACAAAGGATGTTGCCCAGTGCTTCCTAGGTGTGATAGTCTCACTGCCCTTTCAGTTCGATAGAGGGCACCTCTGTCAGAACTACAACATGTAGGAAGCACACCATTTTTTGTACATTTACAACAGAAAAGAAGGCATAGGGCAGCCATGAGCTTTTCAGATAGGCTCCGGCCCATGTCAGCAAAATGTGGGCACCTGTAAGCACAGGTCTGAAGGATGCAACTCCCAGAAATATGCCTGGGGAATTCTTCGGATAATTCTGGGATCTGCACTTTAAAAAGAAGAATGTTGCATCTCTATCCAAATGCCAAGTAGGCCCTGAAACCCAATGGATGAACTTGGGCGACTCACACTGTTTTGGGCCAACTCATCACACAGAGTTGTTCTGAGGGGGAAAATGAGGGGAAGAACCATGTACATCACTTTTAACTTCCTTGAGGCATGCCATAAATGGAATGAGGAAATAAAACAAAGAACCACAAGAGGCAAATATGCATAAATTTAAAAATTCAATAAGATAAAGCCATCTAGAATAGTGGTGAAACATGTTGTTCCAATGTAAAAATGTTACAGGGTTTGGGGGGGCAGAAAAAGTGCAAGTCATCCTGGCTAAATATTGAGGCCAGGCTCTCTTCTTTTAAGTTAGTTCCAAAATGGAGTCCGCATTCTTTTAGAATCAGGCTGAGGTAGCAATTTTCATCTCATGGGACGCAGACGTAATCGTCCGTCTCCATATCCATAGGTAAAGCAACTTCTAACTACTAACCAGTCATTTATAATTATGTATTTCCTTTCTGCAGTCATTAAAGTTTAATTAAGTTGCCATGATAATGTAATTCAATGGGGGATAATTTCACTCTTTGTAGCATAACTTCTTGTTACCTTTACAGTTACATAGGTGTAGCACCACTAAACAGTAGAGAAGGAATATCACTCAGTTCAAGCAGTACCGATAGCTTGTGCTATGCCTCCTGCTGCCATGTGCTCTATTGTGGATGATGATGAGATAATAAAGTGGGCAGAAGGCGAGCGTTTTTTGGGCCTACTCTAACTGCAATTTACTGTACTAAACTACCCTAGTGCTATTTGCTTCCTCCCTGGGCATACTGTCTAGAACAGCTGGTCACCCATTGCTTCTTAAGCAAGATATTTAGGTCCTGCAAATTAATTAAACAGACAAATAAAACAAAATAAATCTTTACTTAAAATATCTAACACTTTACAAAATGTGCAGTTTAGTTCTGCTGTGCAACACTTGAAAGAGGTAAACAACAACAATAAAGGGATATGCTTCTCTGTGAACCAAACTACACACAACTTACATCAAGCAGATCTATCTTGGAAAACAGGATTCGGTTCCACAAATTGCCAATGAAAGGACGGCAGATCAAAACCAGATCCTAGCATACAAATTGAAGTGTAGACACTTTGACCCTCTGCACTCCTAATCCAAAAGCCATCACTCCTCCTTTTTTGACATCTGCAATGCCAAAATTTGTTACTGAAATGCTACTCAGGGACTTCTAAGTAAGCACGAATCCACAAATGATTTTGTAAGCAAGATATGAGACTATGTAATGGTGTGTTCCCAGGGATCTGATGGTCTGTGGCTCTTCTGGGACTCCCGCAGATCTAGTCAGATTTTTGCAAGAGGCAGAAATGGCAATATAAGTACAGACAACCTTCAGGTGAAGACACCTACAAATCTTTGGTTGCACCAAGAAGTTTTTTGCCCATTTTTATGGCAATTTGATTTGATAGTACATGAGAAACAGATTAGTGGGTTTACACTGAAGAACACCAAGACAAATAAAACTTTCTTAATTAAGGCTGCCTTTGTTATCAGCCATACCAATTTAAGGAGGAAGGCACTTGTTCTGAAGGGAGGATGACTCACCTTTTGTGCGGTGTAAGATGCTCATCCTCTCTTTTTTCTTTACCACCCATCTGCTATATTTAGGACTGCTTTCAGTCAAACAACTGCTATGCTGTCCTTACTTAACCTAATTTACATCTGGAGCCTTATAGAACTTGTTCCCATCATGTGAAGAGATGTAACTAAGCCACAACTTTCGCCATGAGTTTTAACTGTCTGCAGTTCATTTGGTGTCATGTCCTGCCAGGAACCATCAAAAGAAGCAACACATTCAGGTACAGGTGAGTGAGCTGGCCAAATCTGTCATTTTTGCCGCAACAAAGGATCTTGTGGAACTTTAAAAGTAAAGCAGGTTCTTTAGTCTTTGAAGTGCTACAGGATTACATTGCTTTAATTGCAAACTACAGTGGGGTCTTGACTTGAGAACTTAATCCGTATTGGAAGGCGGTTCTCAAGTCAAAAAGTTCTCAGGTCAAATCTGCATTTCCCATAGGAATGCACTGAAAACCATTTGATCCGTATCTGCTCTTTTCCGTCCATAGAAACTAATGGGAAGCTGCTATTCTGCCTTCGACCACTAGAGGGGGATATTTTGTTTCTTTTTTTCTTAGGTCAAGAAAGGCTCAGGGAAGGCAGGGAAAATACAGTCCAGGCAGTACAGTACCAGGCAGTCCGAAGACTGTCTCCCAATCCACTCTCTAAACGCTGGGAGGAGGGAGGAAGCAGACAGGCACCCTTTTCACTGGCCAACAGTTAACTGAAAGTTCAAATTTTGCACTTGCCCTGCCTCCCACGTGGGTTTTTTTCAGTTCTTAACTCAAATCTACGTATGTAAGTCAAGTCAATATTTTCCTATGAGAGTGGTTCTTAAGTCAAAATGTTCTTAACTTGAGCCGTTCTTAAGTCAAGACCCCACTGTATGCAGAAATATATTTCTGCCTTGATGGCAAGTTGAGGATGTAACTCAAACATATCAGAGGACACTTTCTTATGCCAAGTCGGACCATTGTGCTATCTACCAGAAGTTCTCCTACGTTTCATACAAGAGTCTTTCTGATCTCCCTAAGACTCGTGTCAGGTTCACTGAAAGCCACTGGTATGCTGAGGCCATCTGTCAAGGTATGCTGAGGCCATCTGTCCAAATATAAGTTCTGTAAAAGCTCTGCGAATCTAGGGAAAAGTCAATGACTCAAAATAATTTGGTTTTGCATGATCCACCTGAAGTTGGGGATACCAGGTAGAAAAACAGGACCCAGCAATAGCTGCCCTATCCTGACTAGCATCAAGATCAAAGATCCAGTTCCTAAGGTCGCGAAAGCTTAAACTAAGGAACTTTTCCATCAGAAGGTTATGGACCTTTAATTTTTGGTGACATTGTTGTGCCCATCCACCAGATTTTTGCTGTTCTAACCAGCAACACTTTGTCAGGGAGGAGTCCTCCAAATTGTTCAGCCTATGCCAATATC